AAGGATGTAGGGGGCGTTACCTAAGGAAATTGTACTCCATTGTGTTACTAAGAAAATACCGTTTCAGGTGTCTTTTCTGGGTACCTCATTCCCCCCTGCTCTGGGATGACCCCCAAAAGCCCTTTCCCAGCTCTGGGTGCTGGCCTCTCCTCTATGCCTCTGGCGTACCTGCTTGTCTGTATGTACAGGCCCAGAGGGAGCTTTAAAGTACAGTCCCTTGGTTTACAACACATATTTTACCAAACCACACCTAGGCTGAAGAGTATCGAGCCTTGCTGAAGACCTTATAAAAATATTCCAACTTGGTTATCCTATTTATCTGCACTAGCTCAGCTGAGGGGCGACTCCCTAGTTGACGGACCGGCTTCCTATTTCCCTTTCCCTGACCTGCTATGACCTTATAGGCTTAAAACTAGGAGGAATTTACAGCGCATGGGCTCGGGCAACACGTGAGCCCCAGAGGGGAGCTCCACTGCCAGGAACACTTGGCTGATGGAAGCAACAGTCCCTGCATTCGGTGCAAGCCTCTCTAGCAGCCCCGCTGGAGTCAGGGTCCAGCTACGCCCAAGGCACTCAGGCATCCTCCAGCGACCACTCCCCTCACCCCAATACAGAAGAAAAGCAAGAAAGCTCTCAATTAGGAAAAACTGCCAGGGCCCTGGAAGCAGGGACCTCTGCCCACCGCCCACCTGTCTTACACGAGCAGTTCGCCAAGGACCGCCCTCGCAAATGGTAGTTGCCTCAAGTGTTAGGTGTTATCATAGGACTTACAAAGCTCCTCTCCCCCAAATGCGTCCCAACTCGGGTATCACGGGGTCTAAAATCCTACCGCTAACAAGCCATTGCCTAGGCTAAGCACATCGTTCTATCTTTTTTTTTTTTTTAACATTAACGTTTATTTTTATTCTGTTTGAAAATACACGGCTTTGTCCTTTTTGTGCCTCTTCTCACAGCCCAGAGGCAACTGCTTTCCACTCTTAGCCTTTTCTCCACGTTTCTAAAGACAATGAGTACGCCGCGACTTTACTGTCCAGCTTAGACCTCTTGCTCTGCAGACGAGATCTAGCTCTCTGACATCCCCAAGGATAGTTCTAAGTGCTGTTAAGGCTGCTGCCTGGGCTTTTCCCATCCAGGAGGAGAGACTTGGGTGGGGACAGAAGGGGTGACTCACAGAATACGTGAGTCAGCTAGGGTCGAATCAAGAGATCTGTAGCCTGAGGCCGCCAGAGGCCTGGCCATCTCCTCTCTGGGCCCCTGGGGACCCAGCAGACCTGCTCCTCCATTCTTGGTCAGGCTACGGCTCCTTGGTGTGTGGACTCTTGTCTGCCTGGAATACAAGATGTGCTTCTAGTGGGAGGCTCTTCATTCGGTTCTTTACCAACAACATTAGCAATGGAACCAAAAATCTCCCCGGCTCACCGGTTGAGCGCCCCATACTGCTAAAATTCTTGCTTTTTGATCAGTGGAGATAAAATGAAACTCCTTCACGGTCAGGAAACACGTTCTGTTTCCTTATCTCTCTGATAATATTTCATGCTTTTCTGCTTTCTAAGCTGGTGGCATTTTCACGAGCTCTGAAGCCCAGTATCCTCAAAGCTCCCTACAGGGAGCCATCGGCCCGCTTCCGCCCTCCGCAGGCAATGTCTGCTCCTCCCTGGATGCACACACCTCGTGGTTTTCCTGCAGTGACAGAGCTTCTAGGCAGAAGGTCCTTTTTTCCAGTCTTATTTCTCCTTGCAATGCCCACTACTAGCACAGAGCTTGTTTTGCACATAGTAGGTTTGCATTCCTAGTGCCTCTCTACCATGGCTGACCCAACCCTCCAGCAGGTGTCAGAGTTACCTCTTTCTTAAGACCAGGGAAAAGGAGTGAGTCTTCCCTGCGAGTTGGGGGCCGTGAAAGCCGACCCTTCCAAGTGGAGCTGTCCAACTGTCTGTCCTCTCTCAGCGCCGCTGGGGCTCACGGACACGCTTGCACCACCTCTCAGATGGGCGCTGAGAGAAGTTCATTGTCTCATGACCTTCCGTCTTGTCTCCGGGCCACACCTGCTGTCCCCTCCCCAGGGTTCCCAATGGTTCCCTGGAACCCTCTCCATTTCCCCAAAACACCTCCCTCTTCACTTTCACAACTGACTCCCTTCTGCGACAAAGGGGACAGAGGGAGGAACCCTCCCCTCGTACCTGCCCACCGGCAAAGTGACGGCTCTCTGCCCTTTTTCCATCGTCTCTTCTCCAACCCGAGGCTCATTCCTCCTCACAATTCTGGATTCCTTGTCTTTCCGCCTCTGGAAGGACGTGTCATTCAAGCACGCAGCTCCCTTTCCTGGACGTGTCCACACCCACCCTCCCTTCTGGCTGCTCTGGGACCTGGGCCTCCCGTGAGAAGGGGCTAATTTCCAGGTCTGGGGCAGGAGGTGCATGGGATGAGCTTGTGAGGACATCTTGTCACCCTAGAAAGCAAGGACACTATCAAAGGTACCCGGGTCACGTCAGAAGGACTCACTGGCCAATGCGATTCAACAAGGAGAGTAACTGGAATGGATGCAAATAGAGCAACTGTGGCTCAGCCCACTCGTGCGGAGAATAAAAAAGCAAAACAAAGGAAAACTCATGGCTAACTTTTGAAGAACAGTAGAAAGCCAACTCATTATTTTGACAAGTGGCAAATAAAGGAATTCCACGTGTATCCTGCCTCTCCTATATGAACCGTGCTGCAGAGTTAACTAAGTAACTGATGAGGGGAAGTTTCTCTTTATAGAAGTAGGCTAGCAAATAAAAAAGAAACAATGAAATTATGATGTCCATTTCACAACTATGAATTCTACTTCTAATGAATTAATGAACTTAGGCAAGGAACGTCTAAATACGGCAGATGACCAGATACCAGATGCCTCACTGGCTTGAATCGTCCCGAATCTGATCAAGCCTCGGGAGCTCCTTGCCAATTTCAGGTAGTACACAGGAAGCACATAAAGAATATGTTCGACCATATCACAACGATGGGGTCAGCACAATGCAAAGCGTAGGAGACTCTGCAGGAAGAACGGCCTGGCCTCCGTGACAACAGCAAGAAATTGCTTAGGACAAAGATGCAGGGGAATCTCCAGATGGAGAGATCTAGGAGACACATCAGACAATACATGTGTGGACTGTTTGGGTCCCCATCCGAACATAAACTGACAGAGTGAGACCGTTTATAGGGCACTCAGGGGAGTGAGAACATGGGCTGGGGATTTGATGCTATTATGGAATCATTCTTGCTTGGGGAGCCCTCATGATGGTAGAGTGATTATGTTGAAAACTGTATCTTTTAGAGATACACACTGAAACTTTACAGGTGAAATATAACGTCTGGGATTTTCTGCAAAATATCCTGGGGCAGGAAGTGGGTCAAGACAGAGGAAACAAAATCGGTGGCGCATTGATGAAGCCAGGCAGTGGGTACCTGGAGCTTCGTTCTAATGTTCTCTCGACTTCTGTCTACGCTTGAAAATGCCCATGCACTTCCCTGGTGGTCCAGTGGGTAAGACTCCGCACTCCCAACGCAGGGGGCCCGGGTTCGATCCCTGGAGGGAGAACTAGATCCCCCATGCACGCCGCAACTAAGACCCAGCACAGCCTAAATAAAGAAAGAAATATTAAAAAAAGAAAGAAAGGAAAGAAAGAAAGAAAGAAAGAAAGAAAATGTCCTTGTGTTTAAGAAATGTCCTGCCTCCCCCTGAGTCCTTCTCCAGCTTTGGGCCCTTCACTTCTCCGCAGCGCAGCCAACCTTCCTGAAATGGTTTTCTGCTCTCCTTCCTCACCCCCACCCAGGAAGCTTCATGACCTCCAGGGTAAGGCCAGTAGACAATGACTTCCTTGCAGCCTCCAGCTCCACACCCACTCCCTCCCCATCAGCAAACACTGCCTTGCTGGGGCTTCCTGGACATCACACTCTGGCTTTTCCCTCTGCTCCATCCACAGCTTCCAGGCCCTCCTCCCTGCCTGGCCCTTAGATACTGGCACCCCTGGGGGCTCAGCCCTAGTCTCCGGCCCCAGGCAAGCTTTCTCCTCCCCTGCTGTCTGTACCAGGCCTCTCTCACCCACCTAGGATTCTTCCAGAGACTCCAGACTCACACATCCAACCCCAGTTAACAGCCCCACTGAGACACCCCACGGGAACCAAACGCTCAACAAGTATAAATTAATTCCTTGCCCGCACCCTGCCCCTCAAGTCTGTCTGTCCTTCGTCTGTTGCCTCGCTCCATGAAGATCCCGCCATCCAGCTCGCTGCCCAAGCCAGACAACTGGGTGTCATCCCAGCTCTGTCTTCTTTCTCTCACCTCTTGAGCCTTCCTTAAGTCTGTGCTCCCAGACAACCATCCTCGGGCCGGATTGCTGCCAGGGTCCTCAGCCTCCCCCCTCCCTTTCCCTGCTCCGTCCTCGCTCCCCATACCAGCCTGCGGGCTTGTGTCCACGCTGTACCCCCTCTGCACAGACCATGTCCCTTCTCTTCCCCGAGCGCTTGGCCAACTCCTTGTATGCTGCTGAGATGTCACCTCCTGTGACCATCAAGTCTGGGTCAGGTGACCCTCTTTTGCACCCCGTGTCCCCTACTGCACTGTGTGACACAGTGCTGTGATGATTGCTGGTGACCTGTCGTCTGACCTCTCCACTAGCTGGGAGCTCTTGGCGGGGAAGGACCACATCTGTCCTGGGCTGCACTGCGTCAGGGGGGCTCCCCCGGCCTCCGCCCCCCTCCTAGATCAGGGCAGTTGGAGGGCAGGAGGGGAAGTGGGGCTGCGGACTCCCTGCTTCTTCCCTGCTGCTGCTTCTCTACCAAAGTGCCACCCTGGCCCAGGGGGTCCCTCTACAGCCTTAGCGCCCTGGGTTCCAGTAATGGCTCACTCCCCTGGCCTCTTCAGGCCTCGGGTGCCAACTTCCTGCTGCCTCTGGCCTGGGAGTGCCTTCTCCACCACCTGCTCAGACTTATTTAGCCTCGTAGTGGGTTAAATAATGTCCCCCTCCGTTCCCGCCCTGCCCCGCCCCACAAACTCATGTCCCTCCCTGAAGCTCTGAACATGGCCTTACTTGGGAATAGGATCATTGCGGATACAGTCAGTTCCGTTGAAGTCCTCCCGGAGTAGGGTACAGCCTAAATCCAACATGACTGGTGTCCTTACAAGAGGGGGGGACACAGAGACACAGACACACGGAGAGGTGATGTGAACGCACACAGGCCAGGTGACGACGGAGGCCTATTAGAGCGATGCACCTACAAGCTAAGAAACACCCAGGATTGCCAGCGACGCCACAAGCTGAGAGAAGGGCAAGCTGAGAGAAGGGCACGAAACCCATTCTCCCCTGGAGGCTTCAGAAGGAGCACGGCCCGCCAGCATCTTGATCTAGACCTGTGGCCTCCAGACCTGTGAGACCATAAACATCCATTGTCTTAAGGCCCCCAGGTCTTTGTTATGGCCGCCCCAGGACATGAACTCAAGTCCCTTCCGCTCTTGCCGCAAGCCTCTTGCTCTGTGGATTCTGCAAAGGCAAGGCCCCAGTTGACTGAGGCCTCAATGCCTGGCACGCTCTGGCCCCGGTAGGCACCCAAGACACACCTGTCGGATAAGAGTGAATGTGCTTCTCATTTGGTCTGTTCCACTTGTTCTGGAATAAAAATCAAAATAAATTCAAAGCAAGCGTGGAAGTCTCAAGTTAAAGCAGAGGCCCGGCCAGGCAGGTGTGTTGAGCGGGCGGCCCCAGGTCTGGGCACCCTGGACTCATCTCTCTGGAAGCCTGGCCATGGGCTGTGGCAGCGGCAGCCTGAGGGCACACCTCCACCGGTCCCCACGCTATGTCATGAGTTCGAAAAGCTGGATATGAAAAGTTCAACTGGGTTAGAAATTCATTTATTGATTCGCACAAGAAATGTCAACATTACACCTAGAAAGAAAAGGAAGAGTGTCAGATTCTTAAAAATAATTTCAACTTTTGTGAAATTTGTGTGATTGTAAAAAAGACTTTAAAGTTATCATCTACCTGCGCCAAGAAAGAGTCTCCAGGGTGACATCCCAGCTGTGCCCCGTCCTGAGCTTATGTGCAGTCATTTCAAGCATAACACCTAATATGATCATCAAAGCAATCACACGTTTTCGTTTCAAAATGTGAACCGTTTTTTTGGAGATTTCATACAAATTTACTAACTTCCCTAATCCATTTTTAGGTGTTTCTTACCATCATACGAAAGATTAATATAGAAACTAATATTTTCTAAAAGATTAATATTTTAATCTTTGTAAAATTCATAGATGAATATTTTCGGCAAGTATTATATAGACCACCTGAGGTCTGTCTGGTTTTCCCCAGTGTGCCATACAAACATCGTCATTTTCTAGGCGAGAAATGGTGTGGAAACGTGGAGCATCCCTGTGCTGAGTCCTTCCGCACCTGTTCATGCAGTTGGCAAACGTGGATGAGACCTTCTGAGTAGGGCAAGGCCCTGAGAACCCCTCCAGTCCCAGGCTAGGGGCCAGGAGATAGATTTAGAAATAACCAGTACCAGTTTGGTGTGCTAAGTCAGGAGCAAGAGGTAACTACAGTGCCCTGGGAAAGCAGTGAAGATGGCCTGAGAGAACAGACAAACACCTGACCTGGGTCTCGAAGTCTGAGCTCACTAGGAAGAGCCGGGGTCTGGAGGGCTAAGGCAGAAATAGCCACTCAACGTGTGAGAAAGTCCTGGAAACTAGAAGAGCGGTCCTGAGCTTTGGTCGTGAAGTCGAGAGTGGGTTAGGGTCTTGTTTTCCAGCTACTAAGGACTGAGGCTCTTTCCTGATCCGGAGGGGGATCTCGAAGGGTTCTCATCAGGAACGCCAGGGTCCCATCTGCTTTAGGAGGGCAATTTGAAGGGCTGGAGGAGTGGATTTGGGTGGGGAGAGCTTGCAGGCAGGGAAGCTGATGCTCAGGGAGAGAGGAGGAGCCCGGAGCAGAGCCTGGGGTGGGTGCAGAGCAGGGTGATCTGGAGAGAGAGGTGTGCCAGGCTGGGCAGGCTTGCATCACCATGAATGGAGAGTTAGGGAAGGGAGGGAGGAGGACTGTGAGAGAGGAGGTCTGTGGAAAGAGACCTCGCCAGGGGGAGGGAGAAATCAGGAGGCGCGGGCCACCTCCCTTGCAGGATGAGGGGCCAGCAGCCATCCTGCGGCTGAACCCCAGGGCTACAGTGAGGCTGGCCAGTCTCCTTCCTGCACTGAGAACGCTTCTCAAAGGCCTACAGAAGCGATGCATTTGACACCCAACTTAGCCAACGGGAAAGGATAGCAGGGTGTCCCCAAGCACAGGCCTGGCAGGGGAGGTGGGTACCTGCCAGGAGGCTGTGTGCACTCTCCTTCTGACCTCTTTGGGCAGTTACTGCCAGGCCTTGGATTGGTTTTATTTATTTATTTATTAACATCTTTATTGGAGTATAATTGCTTTACAATGGTGTTAGTTTCTGCTTTATAACAAAGTGAATCAGCTATGTGTATACATATATCCCCATATCCCCTCCCTCTTGCGTCTCCCTCCCACCCTCCCTATCCCACCCCTCTAGGTGGTCACAAAGCACCAAGCTGATCTCCCTGTGCGATGCGGCTGCTTCCCACTAGCTATCTATTTTACATTTGGTAGTGTGTATATCCATGCCACTCTCTCACTTCGTCCCAGCTTACCCTTGCCTGTCCCTGTGTCAAGTCCATTCTCTACGTCAGCGTCTTTATTCCTGCTTGGATTGGTTTTAACTTTAAGCATTGTTTTAACAAGGGGGAGACTTCTTCCTGCAATTTCTTCTGCAAAACATGCTTTCTGCCCCACTGGGCCCTTCCAGGGAGGTGATTTCCTGGGAGCTGGGCACCTGGGCTGGATTTAGATGCCATGTGTCTACCGCGGGTGCTTTGCAGGTACCCCAGGAAAATAATCAGGCTTGTGGGGGGCGGTGCCCGGTCACTTTCTGGCAAGAAGTGAGCATGGGATTCGCAGAACACTGTTCCTGGGTGAGGTGGGAAGCCTGTTATGGCACCGGGGGAGGGTCCGTCTGGTTCAGGTGACTGAGACCCAATGAGGTTCTCCAGCACAGCCACGTGAGGGGCGTGTCACACACACACACACACACACAGGTGTGATCAAAGATGGTTCACCACAGCCGATCGTGGGCCCCATTTTCACTTAATACGAGGCTAGTCTCATGAGTCTGACCCCTGAGAGGAGGTAATAAGAATAATGTCCAGGAGACCAAGGCTGGCCCCCTTTAGTGCCGGTCCTTTCTCGGGAAGCCCGGCTCCGCTGCTGTCGGGGAGGACTTACCTTGAGGACAAAGGGTCCTTGGGGAGCTCTTCTTTGGTCAGTTTCGAACTCAAGCCCGGGCGCCCGCAGGCAGGTGCAAGGAGCGGGGACCGCGGGGAGGAGTCCTGAGCGGCGGTGGCCCGGGGTCTCCTCGTGGCGGCGTCCCCGCCCGGCCTCCCCCGGGCTGGCTGGGCCTCTGGGTGCGCTCCGGGGCCGCGGGAGGACCGGCGAGGGGATGAGTCGGAGGGGGAGGGGCCGAGCCGCCGCCGCCGCCGCCGCCACCGCCCGGCCGGGCGCCCCGCTGCCTCAGGAAAGTGAAAGGGCCGCCGGGGCCTCCGCGCGCCGCCCCAGGAAGTCGCGAGCAGGAAGCGCCGGCGGCGCCCGGGCCGGGCAGCGGGGCGCGGGCCTGGGGGCGCAGGTGAGACGCGGGGACCGGGAGGGGGCCGGTGGGGAGCGGGCGGCGCGGGGACCCCCCTCCCCACCGCCCGCGCCGGCCGGGCCGCGGGACTCGGGCGCCGCGGCCGAGCGACACCTGCCAGCGCGGGCGACGGGCGGGGAGGCCGGGGGTCCCTGCGCCGGGCGCGCGTCTTTGTGCTCGTCCGGGGCGGAGGCGTCCGGTGGGCCCCGGGCCCGGGGCGGCCCTTGCAGCGGGCGGGGGCGGGGCTGGAGGAGCGGCCGGGCGCCCCCGGACCCGGCGAGCGGACCCCGGAGGAGCCGGTGCCGGGCCGGCAGCCGCCCACCGGAGCCCCGGGCGGGGGCGAGCCCAGCCGTCCTCCGGGCCTTTTCCCCGGCCGGGCAGCCGCGGTGACAGCCCAGCCCGGGGCTCGAGAGGGGAGCCCCGCGCGGGGTGGGCGGCGCGGCGGGACGTGGGTGTGCCCGCCAGTCCTCCTCCGAGACGGGCCGCCGGGGAGGAGCCGACGCCAAAGCCGGCGGGAGGCTCGGAGCGCCGGCTCCCTGGGCCTTCGGCTTGTTCGTCTGAGCAGCTGGTTCCCGGAGCCGGTGAGCCTCCTGGAGGGATTTTACTGGACTCAAAGCCCCGGAAAATCACCCGGCTTCGGGGCCCCAACCGTCAGGCTCTTTTTTCCAACACCCCCCAGCCGCCGGCCCTCCCAGCCTCTGCAGCCACGCTGCTGATCCTGGGGACCTGGCGACCTAGGACTGCGACCAGGATCCTGGAAGGCCCCTCTGCACACCGCCAGGTTTGAATTTCTCCGGGTGGAATTCCAAAGCCCGCCTTCCCTTTATTCTCCCTGAGCTTTCTGTCTGGAAAGTGCCCACCTGCCCTTGAATCTGAATTGTGTGAGGATGTTCGAGTTGGTAACTAGATTAGATCTCCCCCTCCCCCCATGGCTCCTTCTTTAATGTCCTTTAAGGTCAACCTTGAGAACCCAGGGCTCTAGATCTTCAGTGTCTCACCATGTGGTTTTGGAACGGTATTTGCAGGTTCTGTGTTGTACCCGCCACCTTGAGGTTCTGTTTGTTGGTGGGAGAAAGTGGTACAGGTAGAGGATTCCTTTTTGTATTTAAGCCCAGGAAAGAAATACTGGCTATTGTCATTAATTTTTAATATTGCTTACAGCCTTTAAAGCACAGACCATACAAAGTGTTTTCTCTGAAAAGGAAGTTGTGTTTCTCTTTCTCTTTCTCTCTCTCTCTCTCTCTCTCTCTCTCCTAAAAGAAAAATGTCTAAAAACTTGTTTGGGGAACATGCATTCCCCCCGCCCCCTGCATTTGCCTTAAAATAAGATCTACTTTGAAAAACCTTGCCTTTAAGTAGATTCTTTAAGATGCGCCTGGGGCTGCTTTGATTACTGACCACAGCGCTTCAGTTGTGGGAAGACCCTTTCAGTGTTATGCGCATCATTGCTTTTGAGACTCATTTTCGTCTCCAGCGAGTACGGAACTGTTCCCCAGGTAGTGTTTCTGAGGGTTGGGCTCCAGAATGTGTATTGCCCTCAGGTCATCCCATTTTATAGTTACGTAGTTTATAGACTAGGTTGGGCACTTCCGGAACATGGGTATAAAAATGTGTATTTTAGATTGTAAGAGAGATGCTCTAATGGGGTGTTTCTGAAGTTGCTGTCTTTAACAGTAGAATGAAACTGGGTATTCTGACACTTTTCCCTACTGGAGTGGTGACTTCCAAGGGTGCCTATTAAGAGCCGTTTTTTTTTAAGTATGTTTTCTTTTTTATGTGCTTGGATTATGTGCCAAAAACGGGGCTTAAACCAAGTGATCTGCTCCAGTTCTGCCGCCCTGTCTTTGGAGGAGACCTGCCCAGAGGAAGCAGGTTGGAGGGAGGAGGGCACTGAGGGAAACTGGACCAACCTGAATTTGCCCCACAGCGTCCATCCAACCCAGATCAGCCTCCGGGCCTCTTCCTCAACACGGCAGTGGGGCTCACAGGAGAGCACGGAATTTGTCACTGATGACCTTGGCGGTCTTGACCGGCTGTCGCTGGAATGATTTTCAGTGGGCACCGTCCAGGCTTTGGAGGAAGGGGCCTCATTAAATAGAGCTCTTAATGTTCTACGTGTAAAATCTCTATGTTTACACATCTTAATTGCACTTACGGTGAAAACTTATAGCGCTTGAGTTCACCCATTTTACAGAGGTAAGAACCATGGTTTTAAAAGGAAATCAAGATTTTTTTTTTCCTGCTGACTTTTCCAATGTCTTCTGGATTTCTTTTTTTTTTAACATTACAGGTTTTACCAGAATTGAATTGAGGTTCATTGATTAGTCGATGTAATAGATGGCCATAGAATATTTCCAGATGAGCTGTAGGTACCTAGAGAAGCAGCATCTGGACAGAGGAGGAAAGTTGACTCTGACCATCCATTTCCAGGTGCTGTAAAACTTAGACCAAATCCTTTACTCTAAAGGAATCACTCAAAGATTGTTTCTCAAAGTATATTTAGGCCCAAACAGGAGTCCACTCATTCTGAGGAGAATTTTAGTAAAACGGTTTTTTTAAATCTAGAGATTTGAGCAAAAACATTGCGAAGCATCTGTGGAGCTTGGTTCAGCGCATCTCCTGACCGCTCGCTCTGTGCTGGGTTCTGAACCAGGGGATGGGGACCAGGTGGCTGCCTGCAGCGCTGGGCCTTCCTCCCTGATTTCTACTGAGAGCGATACCAGCTGCTGTTTACTGAGCATCTCCTCCACACCGGGCTCTGTGCTGAGAGCTGTCCATGGATCACTCATTTCATCTCTATAACAACCCGAAGTAGCTGCCATCATCCCTGTTTCTTAGCTGGGGAAGGCGAGGGAGTAGACAGTTGGTGGCGTGCCTGGGATTACCCAGCCCAGGGTCAGCTGTCGGGGCAGGTGGCACTCTGGTGGGATGAAGAGCTGCGGCTGTGACATAGTTAGGTCCCCGGTGGGGTGTGGGTGTAGGCCGAGTGGCCAGGCTGGCTGTCCAGAGCAAAGCTGTAGTTCCCCTGGCTGGAGCAGAGGGGCCTCAGTGCCTCACTGAGAGGAGATGGGGGGAGTGGGGAGGGTGTGAGAGCTTGGCAGGGTGCATTTTGAAAACTCATTCTGGAGGGAGAGCGGGAATGAACGTGGGGAAACTCTTTTAATTGGGAAGACAGGCACTGAGGAATAGTTTAGGTCTTCTAAATCGGAACTATTTGCTATTACTTATCTGTTCTCTCAAGGAAGTTGTTTAAAGACACTGAATACGTTTCAGCTTTAACTCGAGATAAATGTTTAGTCAAAAGTAGCTTTCTTGAACAGTGTTATATAACCTGTGACTTCTCGATAAGCATTAAGGTAGAACAGTGCATGCTTCTGCATGCACTGTGTGTCTTAATGCATGGGCCCCAAAGCTTCCTTGTCACCGAACATTGGAGAAAAACTGAAGAATGGCACGAGTTGTGAGGTTGGCTTTGGGACAGGAGACCAGGCCTCCCTGCGCCTTCCTTCCCGTCTGGCTCTGCCTTCAGCCCTGACCACAGAATGGGGCCGTTTTCCAAGGCCTCTGAGGTGACCACAGGTGTGAGAAATGAGGTGGCACAGACGAGCTGAAGTTCATTCCCACGGCATTACGTGCATTTAGACTCCATTGCAGAGCCCCAGTCAAATGATGGGCTTCATGACCTGCCACCTTGTCCAGGCCTATGTTCCTCTCTGTTACTGTGGCTCACACGTAGCCCGGGACACAGCTTGGGGGAATGGAGCACGGCCAGTTCCCTGGCACCCTGGTGACTGAGCACCTGGTGCGACCACTGGGTACATATGGGCCTCCTGTGAGTATGAATGTTAGCTCTGTAGAGCACTGTGATAGAGAGTGAGTGAGCAGGGTGACCTCAGGAGGGCTTCCAGATAAAGAGGAGTTCAGTGGTTCTTTCTTTTATTTTTTCTTTCCACTGTCCATCTGTTTATTATTTGTTTTTTTTTTTAACATCTTTATTGGAGTATAATTGCTTTACAATGGTGTGTTAGTTTCTGCTTTATAACAAAGTGAATCAGTTATACATATACATATGTTCCCATATGTCTTCCCTCTTGCGTCTCCCTCCCTCCCACCCTCCCTATCCCACCCCTCCAGGCGGTCACAAAACACCGATCTGATCTCCCTGTGCTATGCGGCTGCTTCCCACTAGCTATCGGTTTT